TGTATATACATTTCAGGTATCAGTCATCCTTATGATTAAAGATATAAAACTAGGAAGATATTGACCCTCATTAAGTTGTGATACAAAAACCTCAAATAATAATAATTATTATTATAGAGTCCGACTTTATTACAAATACTGTAACACTGTACACTCAAAAAGGAATACCAACATCAAAGCTAGACCCTTGTACAAATCACATACAAACTGAAACCCTGCAATGCAACCCTTGTACAAATCACATACAAACTGAAACCCTGCAATGCAACCCTTGTACAAATCACATACAAACTGAAACCCTGCAATGCAACCCTTGTACAAATCACATACAAACTGAAACCCTGCAATGCAACCCTTGTACAAATCACATACAAACTGAAACCCTGCAATGCAACCCTTGTACAAATCACATACAAACTGAAACCCTGCAATGAAACCCTTGTACAAATCACATACAAACTGAAACCCTGCAATGCAACCCTTGTACAAATCACATACAAACTGAAACCCTGCAATGCAACCCTTGTACAAATCACATACAAACTGAAACCCTGCAATGCAACCCTTGTACAAATCACATACAAACTGAAACCCTGCAATGCAACCCTTGTACAAATCACATACAAACTGAAACCCTGCAATGCAACCCTTGTACAAATCACATACAAACTGAAACCCTGCAATGCAACCCTTGTACAAATCACATACAAACTGAAACCCTGCAATGCAACCCTTGTACAAATCACATACAAACTGAAACCCTGCAATGCAACCCTTGTACAAATCACATACAAACTGAAACCCTGCAATGCAACCCTTGTACAAATCACATACAAACTGAAACCCTGCAACGCAATCCATGTACAAATCACATACAAACAGAAACCCTGCAATGCAACCCTTGTACAAATCACATACAAACTAAAACCCTGCAATGCAATCCATGTATAAATCACATACAAACTGCAACCCTTGTACAAATCACACACAAACTGAAACCCTGCAATGCAACCCCTGTACAAATCACATACAAACTGAAACCCTGCAGTGCAACCCTTGTACAAATTACATACAAACTGAAACCCTGCAATGCAATCAATGTACAAATCACATACAAACTGAAACCCTGCAATGCAACCCTTGTACAAATCACATACAAACTGAAACCCTGCAATGCAATCCATGTACAAATCACATACAAACTGAAATCCAGCAATGCAACCTTTGTACAAATCACATACAAACTGAAACCCTGCAATGCAACCCTTTTACAAATCAATACAAAAACTGCAGGGCAATCATGGCATGTATAATAAACATTCATTGTAATTATATAACAGACCTTGTATAAATCGCATAAATATAACACAACTCATGTACAAGTGGCATATAGTTTGTTATAGAACTAGTCCAACTGGTATACAAGGTACTCATCACTCTTGTACAAGTGGCATACAGTTTGTTATAGAACTAGTCCAACTGGTTTACAAGGTACTCATCACTCTTGTACAAGTGGCATATACTATGTTATAGAACTAGTCCAACTGGTATACAAGGTACTCATCACTCTTGTACAAGTGGCATATAGTTTGTTATAGAAATAGTCCAACTGGTATACAAGGTACTCATCACTCATGTACCAGTGGCATATAGTATGTTATCGAACTAGTCCAACTGGTATACAAGGTACTCATCACGCTTGTACAAGTGACATATAGTATGTTATAGAACTAGTCCAACTGGTAGACAAGGTACTCATCACTCTTGTACAAGTGACATATAGTATGGTATAGAACTAGTCCAACTGGTATACAAGGTACTCATCACTCATGTACAAGTGGCATATAGTATGTTATCGAACTAGTCCAACTGGTATACAAGGTACTCATCTCCTCTTGTACAAGTAGCATATAGTATGTTATAGAACTAGTCCAACTGGTAGACAAGGTACTCATCACTCTTGTACAAGTGACATATAGTATGGTATAGAACTAGTCCAACTGGTATACAAGGTACTTATCACTCTTGCACAAGTGGCATATAGTTTGTTATAGAACTAGTCCAAATGGTATACAAGGTACTCATCACTCTTGTACAAGTGACATATAGTATGTTATAGAACTAGTCCAACTGGTAGACAAGGTACTCATCACTCTTGTACAAGTGGCATACAGTTTGTTATAGAACTAGTCCAACTGGTTTACAAGGTACTCATCACTCTTGTACAAGTGGCATATAGTTTGTTATAGAACTAGTCCAAATGGTATACAAGGTACTCATCACTCTTGTACAAGTGACATATAGTTTGTTATAGAACTAGTCCAACTGGTATGCAAGGTACTCATCACTCCTGTTCATGTGGCATATAGTTTGTTATAGAACTAGTCCAACTGGTATGCAAGGTACTCATCACTCTTGTTCATGTGGCATATAGTTTGTTATAGAACTAGTCCAACTGGTATACAAGGTACTCATATCTCTTGTACAAGTGGCATACAGTATGTTATAGAACTAGTCCAACTGGTATACAAGGTACTCATCACTCTTGTACAAGTGGCATATAGTTTGTTATGGAACTAGTTCAACTGGTATACAAGGTACTCATCTCCTCTTGTACAAGTAGCATATAGTATGTTATAGAACCAGTCCAACTGGTATACAATGTACTCATCACTCTTGTCTAAGTGGCATATAGTTTGCTATAGAACTAGTCCAATTGGTATACAAGGTACTCACCTCCTCTTGTACAAGTAGCATATAGTATGTTATAGCACTAGTCCAACTGGTATGCAAGGTACTCATCACTCTTGTACAAGACGCTGTATGCATGCAAACATTATAATTGGACTCTTGTACATCTGTTACGTGATAGTTTTTTTTAATACATGTATTATTTGTAATATGATTACATATCAGAGAACTTACATATGTATTTTGTTTTACTGATTACAATGATGCCTTAATTATACAGCAAATCATTTGATAACACTTTGATATGAATATCTCCACGTTCACTTCCCCTCAGGCTTCCTTCGAAATGAATTACATCAAACGAACAAAAGGAACAGAAAGTGTATATATTGCTAGCATCTAGTGATTATCTACCACCTGTGCTGTACGTATATCTGATCATTTTTCCCGATAAAAGCTTAGCTGTCTGTAAAACACTTGACAAATTCCTCATTCTGCAGTCACTTAGTCATTTACATGCTATTAACATGGTACTTGCATTGGTTCCATTAACTTAACTACAAGTGTACATCACTACCATATATACTTCATACATAAGGAAATATGTGCCTAGTCACGCAACTGTTATGCGTGTATTACAAGACATTGCAAATGATACGTGTACAACTGGTCTCGTGTGGTTCAAGATTATATATTTAACAGTTCCTTGTTATGTCTCACTTTGGCAACAGCATGAAAATCTCATACCTCATCACCACCACTATATGAAGAATTATGAATTGGGGTATTGTCATACTTGACCAATATATGACTGATCAAAATCCACGCAGGAATTAATTTGCTAGAGAGAAGACAAGATTTTGTATAAATAGTAATGGCAACCTTGAACTTGACCTTGGCACCCTGAAACACAAACTTGATTGAGGTATTTATTCTCATGCATGATCAATATATGAAGTTTGATCAAAATCCATGTCGGAATGAAGTCGCTCGAGTGATAAAAATTATCCTTAAACAATAAGTGACCTTGACCTTGGACCTGTAAACACACACTCACTTGGGGTATTGTCCTGCATTACAAATAAATGCAGATTCATCAGTATGCAGTAATGAAGTTTCTAATGACAAACTGTCAACATACATACCATGTATGAACGGAAAGCTATATCCTCTCAACAACTTGAGGGAATAATATATGTTTTACCATCATACCCATCTAGTTCAGCACTTTACTACAGTAATACATGTACACTGTAAATGGAACTGTCTGATAAGTCAAAAATACAATGTAGTGTAAAATATGTAATACCTGGTATTTGCCAAGACTTATGTCCCCATGACATATATACTGTAACATGGCCAGTCAGCAATAAACTAGCTGTAACTAGGCAGCTTGACATTTTGAAGCAGCCAAATTGCTGTCAGAATACAAAAACATAGTCGGACTGTCAGTCTCAGAAATAGAATAATTTTTAAATGAGTTAGGTTAATGCGAGGTTAGATGGCATTCAGATTATCAAATTGTTACAACAATTTTAGCCTTAGCCACTATACAAGTGTAATTTTTAAGAGCAGTATATGCATCACCTGTAATGAATAAATTAAAACGAAATCACATTCTACTATGTATTTATATTGCTGCAACATGTAGACTTTTAAAAAAGCTTAAAATGTGATCGCATTTCTAAAAGCCACCTCCTTGCAATGAAGTGTACATTTTTGAAAAATGCTCATTTTTATTGACATTTAACAAAAACAGGAAAAATGTATAAGCTCCGTGGTATATTAGATTTGTATGTTTTGAATTTCAAAATATCTTTCAAAAAAAAGGTTTTGTTTTCGTCTTTGATTTTTTGAGACCTTATGCTATTTTATAACAGAATATTAAGAAGTGAAGCCGACTTGGACTGGGTCGATACTGGTGACCAGCTGGCAGCTCCATTGGTAAAGCGTCCATCTAGAGGTTGGAGTTCCTGGGTTCAATCAAAGTCTGGCCATGTATTTTTTCTATCCTGTTACAGTAGCAACTGGGTTTTTTTTTAAACAATGATAAAACTTACTTTAAACCAATATTATTGCATATATCAACAGGGGTGGAATTAGCTGCTGGTCCACTGCCCCGTGACCAGTGGTTTTCCAGCAGACCACTGAGACCAGTAGGTTTTTCAACAAGCTATCTCGCCGGGCCAGTACTAGATAAATTTATCTAAAATTTCAGCAGATTTGAAAAGCTTTATTTTAAGCCTAGAATGTACCAAAGAGCTTCTAGATTTCAAAATTTCTGGTGGGCGGTCAGAAGAGTATTGTACCTTTGGCGTTCGCTCAAGCCTGCAGCCCTCGTTATCTGGACCAGTGCACTTCGAACTGTTTACAGGACCAGTAATTTTTTACTTGAACTGGCCCTTTGTACCAGTAATCTTTTTTTTTTAATTCCAACCCTGTATCAAAACATAAATACATTGGACAACTTTTCACCACTTAGCAAACCCTGTATTAAAGTTTTACTTTATACACAAACAGTTTACTACATGTACATGCAATTATTTTTTATGTTTGTGTTTAAAAATAAAATCTTTGCCATATGTATCTATTTCTCAACTGAAAAATCTGAATGAAGATACTTAGCAATGTCCTTTTTTGAATGCCTGTAATTTTACACCACTATTAAAATGGCCTTAGCAAATGTAAACAATAAAATCAACAAAATAGTAAATATGATTCTATGACTTGGTGGATGATCGAGCAAGTAATATTTTCTGGGAGTATGAAAAAATCACTTTTACAAATAAAATGTTGATATTTTTAACCTGAAAATATACTTAATATGAATAACGTTACTGCGATTCGTGAAACTTACGTTCATAACAGTTTCAAATCCATGTGTAATCTCCATTCAACCAACATAATACAAACTTGAAGATCAACGAATTTTCTGAGATCACACTATGTTGTACAGAGGATCTTTAACACTTCAGTAAAGAAAGATCGAAATCAGATACGAAATTATCAGATTTGCAATCATTTAACACAACCTTTAAGCTAAGATGCTCACTAACTTCAGTAGTAGGCTGTACTGTATTTCAGTCCACACATTTGGAGTCATGCTCTGTGTAGCTCCTTCACACGTTGACATACACCAAACGTCGGATGTCTCGGAAAGTAAAAATACCAGTATTTCAATCGTACCGCAACTACTTGAACGATGCGTTTTCTAATATAGGACAAAACAATGAAACAACGACAATCGGACTGGTCACCGTGGTCGAGAAGTTGCAACGACAGAGAACAACGAAGTTACTTATGGTGTATAGTCATGAAGATTCAACCTCGAATCGACAGCCGTGAATGTAAATCAGAGTCTGAAATATCCAATCATCATATTACTAACATTTTAAAAATATTATACTTACATTTAGCATATGTTATAACGTATCGAAGCGTAGTTGACTGAAAAATAATCTTTCTTTTCACAGGAAATGAATCGTGCGCGCATGCTCAATCGAAATTCATTCGGATGTTTCGTGGCCTCTGGAGTCTTCTTTACGACCGCGACAAAGAAAAATTATGAATGAAATATCTGAAATCCCATAGTAGGTCACAGACACTGTTTTTTACAACCACAACACCGACTCCGAAATACTATACCTAGGCCTATCAGTGCATGTGTTTATATACGGGTCCAAGGGAGGGATATGGTGCGCAAACATGGAATGCGTATATGCCGGATTCAAGCGATCGAGAAAGCACAAACTTCTGAAATTTCATCATTAACTTGATACAGTTAAGAATATCCCCCCCCCTAAAAATACATTTGGATCTCTACATATGCAATAGCACAAATGTAGTCTTAGAGCAGATAATATCACCTTCTTCTTCTTCCTTTACAAGGATTACAGACTCAAAGGTTTGAGTGCACTTGATCCTGGGAGGTGGCATTAAAAATGTTAAAAACAATTATTTTTGTTAATTTGTAAAACAGAAAACACTTTATGGAAGGTTGAAACTAGCCAGGGCAGACCTGAAAGAGTCCAGGTTTGGCTCCTGTGCTAGGGTTGATGGTAGCGAAGTCCAGTTAACAAGAGTTCTAGGGAAGAATGAATATTTATACAAATTTGTGTGGGTTGATATTTGATTAATTCTGTGGGCCCCTCTGGTTCTCCTGTCGCCTGATGTTATGAATTGGGATGGATCAATAGCCACATGTTCGTTTATTATTTTAAATAACAGCAAAGTCCGTTTATTATTTTATATAACACCCAAACCCCACCACCCAAATGATTTTAACAGAGAGTGGATATTTGGGGATATTTTTACTCTTTGACTATACAAGTTACGGCGTACTAATTCCTTGATTCCCCATCAGGCGCATATAACAGCACAAGAAAATATTTTAACACATTTTGCATCGTTCTCTGGTACTTTTTGCAATGTACGCAACGTACGTTTTCACTCTATATTTCACATTAGTAAATTTTCTTTCCTTTAAATGTACGTGCAATAGTTTAACATTTATGCAGGGAATCTGTACCGAACATGTCAATAAAACATATTGTCTGATACTCGGCCTGCCAAATAGAACTTTACCTTGTTTGGTCGGCAAAGTGTAAATTGTAATCATAGCGATATTTTTTTCATTGTTTCAATAATGAGTGCCGCACATCATGTTTTCATGTAGTTTTCATGTAGTGTCGACGTCGACGCAAGTTGATCCAGCTTCTTGAGACGCATCTATATACTGTTCTCTAATCACGTTCAGTTGTGGGTAACAGGTTGGTACATCTTTTTGGGGATGATGACGCCAGTGATTGTTTAACCGAGCTTTAAAACTATTTAAGGAGGGGCCTCTACAACTATATTTGGTAGAGAGTTCCACACGTCCACGACCCTACTACTGTACAGGTTCCACGTAACATTGAGCCTCATCTTTCACTTGATGAGTTTTTTGGAATTTCCTCTTGTTGTAGCCAATGTTGCCATTTTAATAATTTTCTCCTTATCCAGAATGTCAATGCGATACAATATTTTGTAAGTTTGTATGACATCTCCTCTCAATCGTCGATACTCTAGACTGGGGAGGCCCAACATACACAGTCTCTCACTGTATGATTTTCCTTTTAGGAACGGTAGGCGTCTTGCTGCCCTGCGTTGGACATTTTCGATGGCAATTTGATCCTTTTTGAGCATTGGAGACCATATGCAGGTGGCATATTCCAAGTGGGGCCGCACTAAACTTTTATACAATTGAATAAACATGTCTTTGTTTATAAATGTAAATGACCGAAATATTAGTCCGAGGATTCTGTTGGCTTTAGAGACACACTCATTGACATGGTCAGTAAAATTTAGTTTATGGTCAAATATAACTCCCAAATCCTTTTCTTTGATCACTTTAGCAATGGTTACTTCAATTTGTCCATTTTTTGTTGTATAAGCCGAGTCTGTGGTTTGATTTCCTACTGACATGTGTTTACATTTTTTCCCATTTAGTTTCATGTTCCAAACTTTTGTCCAGACACATAATCTGTGGATATCATCCTGTAGAGTATTCCTATCTTCGTCGTTCGAAATTCTGGAGAATAACTTTGTATCATCACCAAATAATTTAATTATGGATTGTACGACTTCCGGCATATCGTTGACAAATATCAGGAATAAAAGAGGTCCTAGGACACTCCCTTGTGGGACACCACTAGTTACATTCCTGGTATTGGATATTTCACCAATGATCACCACCTTTTGCTTCATTCCGCTTAGAAAATTTTCTATCCATTGGAGTAGCTTCCCCTGGATCCCATAAACAGCAGCTGTTTGTGAGGGACAGTGTCAAATGCCTTGCTAAAGTCGAGGTATATAACATCTATCTGGGTTCCATTATTTACTTGTTCTGACCAACCTTCAAGGACCTCTAGTAGCTGGGTAACACAAGATTTTCCCTTGGTAAAACCATGTTGACACTTGGAGAAAAGATTGTGGGTGTCCTTGTGATTCACAATGGCATCCTTGATGATTCTTTGCATTAGTTTTCCCAGAACCGATGTTAAGCTGATTGGTCTGTAATTTTCTGGGCTGGTTTTGGATCCGGATTTATGTATGGGGTCACAATGGCATTTTTCCAATCCTGGGGTAGTTTCCCCTCATTCAGAGATTTTTTAAGAAGATGATTGATTGGTGTGACAAGCTCGTTAGCCGACTCTAATAATAGTTTCGGATGGAATAGGTCGGGACCACTTGACTTATTTGGATTTAGTAGCTTTATTGCCGATAATATCTTGTCTTCCGTGATGTCAATATCGTTGATTGGTTCCCGATAGTTTCTTCTAATGAACACTGGTAGTGGTTCATTTGTTTCGACAGTGAAAACACTTGTGAAGTAGTTGTTCATGATCTCAGCTTTGTCTTTGTTGTTAGATGTCAGGTCACCATTGGCGTCTTTGATATTTCCTATTGTACTTTTAGTCTTGGTCTTAGACCTAATGTATTTCCAGAATGTCTTGCTATTTGATTTGATGTCCATGGCCATGCTCCTTTCATAGTTGTATTTAAATGTTCTAATTTGTTTCAGAGCTTGGTTTCTAGCTTTTTTGTATTCGTTCCAGTTCTTATCGTCTTTACAATGAAGGTACTTTTTCCATCTGGTTTTCTTGTGCCTGATAGCATGTACTGTCTCCCTGTCAAGTAGTGTTCTAAGGGTAAACTTGTCGGTTTTGGTCTTGCTCACTGGTATGCATTCTTTTATGATAATTGATAAAGTCTCTGCAAGGACCTTCCATGACTCATCTACATTTTTGACAGACAGTAGATCTGTCCAGTTGACATCATTGATTTTTTCACTGATCTTTGTGTAATCCCTTTTATGGTAATTCAGTCTCTCTACTTTGCTGGTAACATTTTCAGTGTATAGGCAGAGCTCGAAGTTCAGAGAGAGAGATGATCGCTTAGTCCAAGTCCGGGTTCAAAGTTCACATTATGTAATGCTCGAAAGGATCAGGCTAACCTGGAAACAATGGCGCGTCAACCTGATCATTTCGACATAATATCTATCGCCGTTCTGGTGGGAAAAAATAGTATTCTTTGTTTCCTGTCCACAATGAAAATAATATATAGGGTGAGCGTGTGCCACCGTTTCAAGGCAATTGTGTCACTCATAAAACTTGATGGTGAATTTGTTACAGAATTTAATGAGATTACAAAGACCTGACTTCAGAAATCTAAATATGTTACAGAGGTGACAATGTTTTTTAGCGCCTCCGCTAGGAGTCGAACCCGGGATCTATGGTTTATTAATCTTACGCTCTACCAAATGAATAAAAGAAAAAATATCCCTAGCAAAGTCGGTAGGAAGCAGTTTATATGTTACCAGGGTGTCAAACATACCTTCTAAGTAAGTGAGCTACATTTTCACTGGCAATGTCACCGCTAATCGACAGCTCCTCTGCCTGGTACATCCCTACCTCCGTCAAGAAAGTCTTCGACCCAGAATACACACTAGATACTATACGCTCCGTGGGTGTATTTGTTGAACTCCATGCGTATCATAAAAGAACAATCCAACGGCCAGACGAGATTCGAACCCGGTACCTCCGATCCCATCGCATGTAGCCTTTCCAGGTGATAGTTACAAACATTTTTTTGTTATATTCACAATCTAATAATAACAAGAATACATTTATGTCGTTATTTAAGGTCAGGTTATAGAGTGATTACTCCAGTTGATCACGTGTACATACAATAGATGGTGATGTATTGTTATCTATAGTAAGGTTATAGAGTTATAACTCCAGTTGATCACGTGTACATACAATATATGGTGATGTATTGTTATCTATAGTAAGGTTATAGAGTGATAACTCCAGTTGATCACGTGTACATACAATAGATGGTGATGTATTGTTATCTATAGTAAGGTTATGAGAGGATAACTATGGCAAGCCAAGTTGTCATTTATTCATGGAGCAATGTTGATCAAGTACTTAACCAAATTATATAAGATATCTTATAAACATATCAGATATCTTATATAAAGTTTATGAGATATCTTATATCTTTTATAAGATATCTGATATACTTTATAAGATATTTTATAAAATATGTAAGATATCTTATATAATATATAAGATATCTTATAAAAGATATAAGATATCTCATAAACTTTAAATAAGATATCTTATATAATATAGAAGATATCTTATAAAAGATATAAGATGTCTCATAAACTTTAAATAAGATATCTTATATAGATATCATATAAAAGATTTAAGATATCTTATAAACTTTTCTTTATAGGATATCTTATATAATGAATCAGATATCTTATATATTTATAAGATATCGTATATACTTAATAAGATATCGTATATACTTAATAAGATATCTTATATACTTAATAAGATATCGTATATACTTAATAAGATATCTGATATACTTTTCTTTATAAGATATCTTATATATCATATAAGATATCTTATAAAAGATAAAAGATATCTTATTGATTTCCTTATCACGTGAGAAGATAAGCATTTCCTGGAAAAGTTTATAATCTTTAGGAGCTGTTTCTTTATACAAAATTGCACATTCAAATATACCATTCATTGAAAGAAATGGAATACCTTAGGGATTGATAAACCCTTACATTGTATGTATGAAAATGGTTTCAATATCCTGTACCTTTGCCACATCTTGAAAATTAAACCGAAAATGTAGTCAGAAATTCAACATTGTTTCCCGTATTTTGTTCTAATTGTTGAACAGACACTCCTTACCTTCCCTGACACTGGAGCTGGATAGTAATCCTAAAACACTTGTATCCATTATGAAGAATACACTCAGACTTGGCTATTGAGAAAAAAAGACAAACTTACCTGGTTCTGATTAGTACTCACTCACACAGGTACATGTAAGTAAATTATCTGCAGTGTAGGGTAGGTAAAAAGATTGTCCAGGTGATTTTTTTTTACTCAATTTTTCTGTTTTGTTCGAGTTGGGAAGCATGCAGTAAGCCAGTTATTGCATGATTTCTCGTCACTCGAGACTTATTACACCCTCGCTTCGCTCGGCTATAATAAATCCCTTGTTACTCGAAAACCATGCAATAACCTTTACGTATATAACTACGATGACACCCCTTCACACTACTGTACATGTCAATGAGTGACACTGAAGACAGTTTGGCAATGAGCCTGACGCTGCGTTGGTAACTGGAATACTGCCCACAGGGGATCTAGCCTTTGTTGTATAGTTAAAATGACGTCAGATTCCAACGTTGGATCGACGTTTTTTTGGGTGATATTTAGTGACGTTTTACAATATACAACATTTGATATAGCGCACTATCTAGCTAACATAAGCCACTCTAAAGCGCTTTACAGTACGTAGATATACAGTTAATACAATTAGCATATACATTAATCAATGCAATTTTGAAGAATTCGCAGGAGTTGCCTTATCAGGCGCTAACTACTAGTCCTATGTCACATGGCTAATATCTTCCTATGTGTGTATGTCTGCGTGTGTGCTGGTGTGTATGCCTGCGTGTGTGCTGGAGATGTAATGTGTTCTGTTTGTAGTGGGACCGTGCTTCCAACGGCATCATTTATAGTGCCACCTCACTTGAATGCTACAGCACATATACCGCAACATCCATCCTAGACCAATTTATACTCCACCTGGGTTGTTGGAGATGTGTGGGCAGGAAAAAACACTTTCTCTGAATATCCATGCGTATGACGATTTCGGGGATCGAACCCCGGCCGCCTGCGTGGAAGGCTGGAGTGTGTTAAGTCTTGAGACATTTTCTAGACGACTACTAATCCTGTAACGAAGCAGAACTCCTTTCTTCTGGCTCCATGTATTACTAGGCTTTCCACTATTCTCCTTTTGAAACTATCACAAGAGTATGCAGACACGAACGTTACTTCATTAGTTAGATAAATAGGTCAGTTGGATGTTAGCTTTGAACTCACCGACTGGAAAATATGATTCGCGAAAAGGTGTGAAAGGTGAGACAGGTACCTGTATTCGTACGGTTTAAATCACATGTTTAAACAAAATCAGTGTGTACAAAAATTTAAAAACAATTCATTGTAACAAATCGAAAGATATCTCTTAATCGTTTTTTCGTTTTGAAGGGAATGACATATTTTATATCTGCCAAAGGAAGGTGTCAACGTGAATTCTAGGCGAAGCCTAGTCGTGACTTAACTAAACCAACATCGTTCATCTAAAATGTTGAATAGTCTTAATTTGATATATGCTATTTATATATGCGTTGCTGACGTCATCACCAGAATATGACGTTACTACGTCGTTTAAATAAAACGTCATATTCCCACTGGATGAGACCACGTGAAGGTCCTAGGCCAAGCTTTCTTAAATGTTAGGCATTTCTGTTGTGTATAAGTTTTGTTGAATGAGGACAGATTTGTTATCAACAAGACTACACATACTGGTAAACATTTTAAGACAGACAAGACTTTAAATTAAATCATTTAGTTATAAGTAAAGTATGTACATGTAGTACGCTATTAGGTCAGCCTTTGTATATAATGTTGGTTGCTCACAATCGATTCTGCTCCAGAGACCACCCCTAATAAACGATTCTGTCTATCAAGCTAAAGAGTTCCGCCACTTTCACAACAGAACGTCTTTCGGAGACCATTTCTGGGCCCTCCATTGGGGCGGCCAGTTAACATTGATTGTATTGTATTGGATACATGTATAGCTCCGTCTGAACCCGAACGTATGTCAAGGGAGGAGTGTGTGTTTTGTATACAAGTTCTTTTTTCCCTCGATTTTCTTTTTCTAAGAATCTACTTACATGTGGCATCACCCGATCATTACACTCTAATACTTCCCCTGGTACGAAAACATGTCATTTCACTCGCGCGAATCTCGGGGAAACAAATAATAATGTTTCTCTACACCAATGACAGTTAATATATGATATAAACCCAGTATTAATTGACTTACATTTTAATACAGTTTTTGTCATGTTTTCCCTTACAGCTGTTGCAAGATATGGATCTCTTCGTTAATTGTTTTGAACAGCCGGGCGCTGAGAATGAGCTACAGGATCTACAGAATGTTTGGACCTACCCCGGAATCTATCATGGGACATATCCTGGTACCACCAGGGAGTAATATTACAGGTTTGGCTCTTCGCTCGGTAATAGACCCCAACATCAAATTCACAGATGATAAGATGGATGACACTTCACCCCTTTTAGATACTCTTACCAGTCTTCACAGAACTAATAGAGTGACCATCATACAGCAACCCAACACACACGTACTGAAGTACCTAGCTTCCAATCCAATCACCCACTGGAACATAAACTATACGTGTTTCGGACACTTTTTAATCGAACTGAGACGATTGCGACCGAGTAAGTCGATATGTAATCAACAGGGAAAAAAACCACCCAATGTCCCCAGTCGAGTCTGGGGTGCGGGCATTTTAGATCAATGCAAGCATTTGTCTACCACTGAAGATTCCACAGAGGATAGGGGATCTTATTAAACCTTCCTAATCACTTCTGCACGGTAGCTGATATGTGCCATTTTGTTATTTCGTTATTCCGCAGAGAAATAACGATATTTACCACAGTTTCTACTTCTTGTCTGTCGATCTCTGTAGCAATGTCCTATAAGCTGCCTTTCACAATATTTTCCACTTCTGGCCAATTGTAAAGTTATTCTTTTTTATCCAACTGGTATTCTGGTAACATACGTAGCGATTTAACAATACTTTTTCCTGAAATAATATAATAGTGCAATGCTTACAGCCTCTGAACAGTATTTACCATTATTTTTACAGTTGGGATGTTCATGCAGAACAGAAGCTGTACCATCATTGGATGTCCAAACAGGATAGATCCCAGCCTTGTAACCCTTGGGAGATTTCAGCCTTGTAACCCTTGGGATTTGATGTGTGTCTCAGGTTCATTTGCATTTTGCAAATATAATGAATGTAATCAAAATGACCTTGTTATCCAAAGGTGACTGTACCAAAGGCAATCACCAGTGTGACGAATATGATCATACAGTTTGAGTGGCGCACGTGATGACCGGGATGGCTATAGGGTGAGAAAGGCCTGGAGTATAGACAGACAATGATCACTGGGTAACAGACCTGTTACTCCACTAGGAGCGTTTACACAAATATTGCACATATAAATCACTGTTGTAATTGGATTCTGGACAGACGACACAGCTTTGATACGTCCTCCCTGAGTTATGGCGTCTCATTCTAGCTCGCCACGAAGTCTGCGATAACCAAACTGTACCGCAGCGTCCAGAACTACGTCAAAGGGCAGGCTGATTGTAGTCTATCAGATCACGTAGAAGATGCAAGCAGGGCTTGTTGATGAAACCATATAACGGAGTGCTATATGAATATTCCAAATGTACTTTAATTACCAGGAAACATATTGTAATTGTATTACTTAAT